GTGGTTTCAAAAGTCTGCATTGAGCGAAATAAATGGAGATAGAAACAAAGCATCATCACTTGTGACCCAACAGTGGGGTGGAAATTGCCAAAAGCTCAACACACAAGCTGACATGGCAGAGATTCTTCCAAATACCCCAAGTATAGATGAGGGCTGTTACTGATTTAAAATACATGAAAGGAAAACCCGACATTAGCATTTGCACAAAGTCTGTAAGATGGTGATAACAGGGTTTTTAGCTTTTTTGCTAGCCACCCTCTACCCTCCAACATCAGCCTGCAGGTAGATTTTGGTTCCCAGCTGGTAGATTTTGGTTCCCAGCTGCAGAAGGTGAGGTGCTGATGCCTCAGGCAGAGCCCTTTGTCAGATAACGCTATACAGATACATCTCTACAACAAGCTTAATCAGTGAAGATGACACTATCCTCCCTCTAATATATAACATTCTTCAGCAGCAGCTCATGTAGCACCAAACAGACTTTAAAACAGTATGCATTGAGGGAAAAGGGAATGTTTCTTCATTTAAAAAAGCAGGGTACAACTACCAGCCAATTAATTCAGTTGAGATGCAGGAGGGACTTTCCTGATGAGTATCACAGGAAATAAATGCAATTGCCAGCTGTCTGTGGGTCAGTGAGCGATATCTTCTTGCCCACAATGACACTGAAATTTCATTTCCCCAGGCCTCAAATATGAAATATTGTATTCTACTTGCCTTCTGGGGAAATACAGTATTTTTTTTAATCCTTTGCCTGCTGCAACTCCTTAAATATTTACTCAAACAAACCAGCCTTTCTCTCTCTCTCTCTTGATTTTTACAAGATGCAGTCTAGGCAATGTCATGACTATTAAAAAATAAGCTTTATTAAAGGAGAAATTACTGCACAATTCCCCTTTTGTTTTTCTTCTGTGCAAAACCTAAATATCAGTTTGGTTTCAAGAGAACAGTTAGTATTTATCTACTGGGGTGTGGGGGGAAGAGAGAAAAGCTGCTCCAGAGCTCAAGCTATTGTAGTCCATCCGCTCTTTAATCAATCCCACTACAATGTATTTTTCAGGAGTGTGCATGCCTGGGTGGGAAAAACAAGTTGCAGAAAGCAGATTATGAGCCTTGCCAACCATTTTGCAATGGAAGTAGGGTGAAATACTCCCACATTGAAGACAGCAACACCCACATTCCATAATTCCTAGTTTTTAAACATGTTTGTTATCCTGTTTACCAGAAGAGCACCTCTGGGGGGGTGGGAGTGCGGAAAAAAGCTTCCTTTGCCTTGATCCTTGATGAGACCTCACAGCTAATCATTAGCATGTTTCCAAGGTGCCTTTTTAAGCTTGCTTATACTCTGGTTTCCAATTAAGGCAACACTGAGATTCCTTAGACGTGAAATATGACATCATAAGAAGGTTTTGCAGAAGCTCCCACTGTACGTCCATTTACATTAGTCTCATCATCCATAATAAGTGTTTAAAAAGCAGAAAAACAACAATGATGCATAATGCATGGTGTCATGATGCATAATAATTAAAACCCCTCCCCCAGCTCCCAAGATTTCAGATTTATCCAAGTAAGCATTTCAGCATAAAGGCTTTGACAAAAACACCATTTAGGGACTTTCAAATTTACAGCTACACAATTTGTCATCATTTATATTAGAAAGAAGGTTTACCATAAGAGCAACAACAAAGAAAAGAAGATAATACA